AGGAACTAAGGCACAGACCTCAGAGGAGTGCTGCTTCCTGGCTTACTCCTCTGACCTGTGCTCAGCAGGCTTTCTTATACAACCCAGGGCCAACTGCCCAGGGGTGGCACTTCCCACAGTGGACTGGGTACTTCTAAACCACTCAACAGTCAAGGAAATGCCTCACAGACATGTCCACAGGACAATTCAATAGAAAAAATTCCCCAATTGAGGTTCCTGCTTCCTAGGTATGTTAAGTCGATAACTTAAGTCAACCATGACTTGGGGGTATGGGGTCAGGGGCTGTGATCAGCATACAATATATACTTGGTCAAAAGTTTCCTTGCATAACACAGTACAACATACAGCAAATATATATATGATGAAAATTAAAATTAAAAAAGGAAAAGATCAACAACAGCAATAAATAAAACCAATAAACTAACAAAAAGCCTTTACATAACTCAGAGAGTAAGAAATAGATATAAAAACATATGACAGATAAAAGAAATTATGAGATGAATATAAGAAAAAAGCTGCCCTTAAGGTTAAAAATTACTAATTTTCTGTTCGGTAATACATACAATTTTAGTTTCATTCACACAGTAAAGAAAGACTTTGTCCTCCTCCTGCTAGGACAGGAATTGAACCTAGGGAAGTAAGGACCCTAGGAAGCATCAGATTTACATGAAATCTATTACAGTAAAAAAATGGGTCTGGAAATAAGAAGTACTGCTTGATCCCAATTCCCATGACACATCTGAAGCAGAAAAAATAGTAATTAAAGCTGAACCCCTTTTTACAAACCTCAAGATAAACTTCATTGACTAGGTACTATTAAAAAAATCAGTTCAGGAGAGGAAACTATTACAATAATTCCCCATGCCAAATCTGACCAATTCACATGCCAGGAAAATGCCAGCCAAGTGACAGTTTTACTGCTCTTTTCTCAGCCTGCGATCTCTATCCTAACATTCTTATAAATGGTAGACAAACTAGTATCGTGCAGAATCTTACTATGGTAAGCAGACATGGACATTGAGGGGCTTGTAAATATTAACCACAGTCTAATGAACAGTGGAAGACTTCTGATTATCAAGCTGTCCTAAGGGGAAATTTTGAATTAGAGACACCACTTGCTAGCCAATAAATCAGTGCTAGAACAGTGTATTCTCCCACACTGCTTCTGAGACTCTGCTGTCCCTCTGAGGGAACAGAGGGCAGGGCCAAATTACGTGTCATCTTGTTACCTCTCCTGGGGCATCTGCCTTATCAATTGGAATATTTAAAAAATAAAAATTATCTGCAAAAGAATTCAGGGTGTATCTGAAAAACTTGGGCACATCCTTTACTCTCACAGTTAAGATAGTTCAGGGGAACAGTGAGCTTGGCACAGTCTTCCTCATTAGCATGCACAATTCATTGCCCAAAGGGACTAGGAGACTCAAGGTTAAGAGGACAGCTGAAATGCCAAAACTTGATTTGTTTATTGCTTTCATTAAATGAGCCTATGACTGCTTTTCCTCTGAGCTCAAGTACAATTTATATTTATTATATTTATATCAGAAAAATAATATCTTCCTTCATAATTTATAATTTTGTAAATTATGAATTGATGAATATATACTGACATTCATATACAAACATATTCATAATAATGATCCACTCATGGAAATATAGTATGTTTGTCAATAGATGGAGTTAAATTTTTATTAAAACATGTCTGAGTGTGGATAGTGAAACCTATTATTTTACATTTTTCATGATGAATAGTAAAAACATGTGATGTAGGTTATTTTATTTTATTTTTTGAACCTTTTGAGACAGGGTCTCCCTGTAGCCCCAGACGGCCTGAAAATCACTTATGTAGACCAGGCTGGCCTCAATCTCACACAGATTTGCCTTCCTTTGCCTCCTGAGTGATGCATTGTTTTCTTTCTACTATTTAGAAAAGAATTAAAACCTATACATAATTCTGCACTAAACATTACTAAGAATATCTGGAAATTTTAATAATATGAATGTTCCTTCAAATCTTCAGGACTCAGATTTTATCCATAACAGGTATAGAATGAGTTGCTTATTGAAAAAACACTGACAGAAATATTAAGGATACAGAAAAAATAATTCAGAAACAAGTGAGAAATGGTAAATATTATTCAGAAATACACTAGAAATTATTTTCAATTATAGAATTTCAAGCACAAAGGAGAAGTGATAGTTACTACATTAGGAAACAGTAAAGGAGAATAATTAAACATCGATTGCTAATAATACCAGTTTTTTAAAAAATATTGTATTTATTTTAATTTATGTATAGGAGTGTATTGCCTGCATGTATGTAAGTGCACCTCTGTCCTGCAATGCCTGTGAAGGTCAGAAGAGGGCAATGGGTTCACGGGAACTGCAGTTATAGCTGGTTGTTAGCTGCCATGTGGGGGCTGGGTAACGAACCTGGGGCTCTGCAGACTAGCCAGTGTTCTTAACTGCTGAGCCATCTCTCCATCTCTCCAGTCCCTTCAGGGTTTTTTTGTTGTTGTTTTTTGTTTGTTTGTTTGTTTTTGTTGTTGTTGTTGTTTTTGTTTTTGAGTCCATGTACTACTCTGTAGCTCTGTCTGCTCTGGAACTGGTTATGTAGACCAGTAGACAACACTGGCATCAAACTCACAGAGATCCTCCCTCCTCTGACTCTCAATTGTGAAATTAAAGGGTGTGCCACCATGTCCAGCCAACTTCAGTTTTTCAATCGATTAAAATGTCTATACTCAATAAAAGGAAGGACAATTGATCTTCAATATATCCACAATGCTTTCTCTAATAACTATTTAAGAAAGCTCTTTGAAGGAATAACTGTACATTGAATTCTTTGATAAAAATTTATATTCTCTGTAACTATAAAAGTCTCATGAAAACTGCTCAAAGACAGCTAAAATGGCTTAATAACTTTATGTAATGTAATAAATGTAGAAACAGATATCATTTTGTGTAAGCATTAATAAATTTTTGCACTAAGATACTCTCTCATCCAGAATTATGCATAATGCTAATTTTTGAAAAATTTATCTCAGGTTTATGATATGAAGTATATTAATTTATGTACATTTTCGTCTTGGCTTAAGACATGTTTGAAATTGTAAACTATATAACCTGAAATGAAACCTATCTTGTATTATACATAGAAACAATTTTTACTCATATAAATAAACTTCCTCTGGCGATTACTACATAGAAATTGCATAGTGACATAATTGGCTATCTTTAAAGATTTATTTTTGTTTTGTTTTGTTTTGCTTCATCTTAACATAATACAGAACTCTTTTTTTTTCCCACGTATGCACAGAAGATGGAATAGTGTTTCTCTGACCTTTATAACATGAGATATTGGAATAGTCAGACAAGACAATCATTCAGTCAAAATCAATACCCAAAACTGAATAATGACCATAAAAATACAATTTTGCTTCTCTCTCACACAAGCTCTCACTCTCTGCTTCTGTATCTCTCTCTCTGTCTCTGTCTATTCCCATTTCTCTTCTTATTTCTGGTATTTGAAATGGAAACTTGGCTGAGTAGTTCAAGCTAGCCTAGAACTGACGATCCTGCTTTAGCCAAACTTGGGGTGTTGGGATACAACTGCGTATCACAATACACAGATTATATTTCTATTATTTAATTGTTGTGATTTTTCTGGAAATCTCCTCGTACTATAGGTCAGATTTTCAAAATATATGTGTACTTGACTTAGAACTCCTGATAATTTTGAGCAAATATTCAGTCTGCCAAACAACTAAATGAGTTAAAAAGAGAAAATTAAGTTGACTTTAATAAAAATTATCATGAATTTCCAGTTTTTTTCGTTGCTCAATATGAAAGCCAACACAATGTAAATGTTGCATTAAAATTAGATCAATATAAAATGGCACATTTGGCTGGAGAGATTGCTCAGTGGTTAGGAACATGGATTACTCTTGCAGAGGACCTGGATTTGATTCCAAGTTCCCATATGTTAGCTAATAACTTTCCACAAATCCAGGGTATCCAACACCTTCTGAACCACAGGCATTGAATGGCATGGGTGCACTTACACACATGCAGCAATACACTCATACACATAAAATAAAAATAATAAAAAAGTATATAGCCAGGCATGATGGCACTCACCTTTAATCTGAGCACTTGGGAGGCAGAGGCAGGCAGATCTTTGTGAGTTCAAGGCCATCCTGGTCTACATAGTGAGTTCCAGGACAGGTGGGGCTACAGGGAGATCCTGTCTTAAAAGATCCTGTCTTAAAATAAAAAGAGCAGATAATCAAGATCCTAAAATATAATTAATATAAGTCCAATGTCTTATAATAACAATAATATAAATCTGTATCTATAAGGAATTCTTTGATATACATTAAAATGAGAAAAGGCAATCATCTCACCACCGACACGTGCTGTTTATTTCATAGTTAAAAGACAACATAAAAACCAAATGAGCTAGGGAGGAAGCTCAGTGCTGGTCAAACACATGTGAGGCCCTGAACTCATCTTCAGCACTATATAAAATGTGAATAGAGTGAGTGAAATTGTGTGTTTGTGTGTGTGTTTGTGTGTATGTGTGTGTGTGTGTGTGTGTGGTGTACAAATTATTATTTTGTTAAGATTTTTATTCCTGCTGGATTTAGTATCAGTCGATTTCATACAGTATCAGACTTAGAGACATCGAAAATAATATTTTATTTTTCTCTTCTATTTTAAAAGTGGAATTGATTGCTTACATTAACTAAGTCCTTGTCTTTGAATTATTTTCCTTCCTTCAGCAGGGGCTGCAATTATTTGGATGTAAAGGAAGTGCGAATGACCTAGAGAAAGAATTCAAGTCAGACATTCCAAATATTAATTCTAAGAAATCTGTGCACAGATTTCTACCTCAGAGGACAGTCAACACTTAGGCTTGGATGGACCTATCCATGATGCATGCTCTTTGGGTGGTAACTCCGTAGCTCCTGTCTAACTTTGATTTTCATCTTTTTCAGGTTTGGATTTATTCTTCATAAAGAAGAAGCTGCACTACACAAAATCGATCTTGAAACCATGGCATACATCAAAACAATTAGCCTGAAGGACGCTAAGTGTGTTCCACAGTCCTTGGCATACACCCACCTGGGAGGGTATTATTTCATCGGCTGCAAGTCTGACAGCACCGGGGCATTTCCACCACAGCTAGTGGTGGACAGTGTGACTGACTCAATCATCGGCTTCAATAGTGATGTAACAGGCACACCATATATCTCCCCAGATGGCCACTATCTTGTCAGCGTTAATGATGTGAAGGGTCTTGTGAGAATTCAGTACATCACCATCAGAGGAGAAATCCTAGATGCTTTTGACATACATACCAACCTGCACATATCTGACCTAGCCTTCCAGCCATCCTTCACAGAAGCCCACCAGTACAACATCTATGGCAGCTCAAGCCAACAGACAGATGTGCTCTTTGTAGAGCTCTCCTCTGGGAAGGTCAAGATGATCAAAAGCCTCAAAGAACCTCTCAAGATGGAAGACTGGCCCTGGAGCCAGAAGAACAGGCACATCCAAGGAAGTGGTCTATTTGGACAGTACTTGATGACTCCCTCCAAGGATTCTCTCTTCATCCTGGATGGTCGCCTCAATAAGTTAAACTGTGAGATCACTGAAGTTCAGAAAGGAAATACCATCATTTGGGTTGGAGATGCCTAAGGAGCCCTGTTATCTAATTTCAGAAGGAAGAGTTTTTTTTACAATACATTGCACTTAATCCATACTTAAATTACAGCTTAACTTTCCAAGTTTATATCCTAATCAAACAAAATTCACTTGGTTGGTCCAAATAAGCTAGATTTTTTTTTTTTTTTTACAAAATCATGCACTATAATACTGGCTGATTAGAGACATCTAAGTAAAAATTTAATTAGAAATTTATAGCACTCATAAGAATCCAGTGTATTTTCAACCAATATAATCAGATTTAAAATTCTTTAAAAAAGTAAACCGCAGGGAATTTCAGATGACTTAAGCATCGTTTCACTTTTAGGGTAGTTTGTTTTTTCTCTGTCCTTTTGCTATGCTTAAATCAGAAATAAAGGGTCTCGTGTAAACTTAAAATTCTTAATTCAAAATACTCTGTCCCATCTACTGTTTATAATCTTTTGTGCCTTGAAGGAAATGTCATAGGGAAATAAGGAATGCTAAGAGCTGCATACTGGATACCTTCAACACCTTCATAACTAGAACTGTGTTGTCATCAGAAATGTTTAATATTTTGCACCAAATCCTGCCTTCAGTCACTTGCTTGACCTTCAGTGAAATGTCATTTGAAGGCATAATTTGGCCTTGTGCTGTATTCAGATGAGAAACTATCTGACATTCACTGAACAATGTGCAGCACGATATTGAAAATGGACAGGGAGGGAGAAAAACAGGTAGAGTGACAATGTTCGCAATGCTGTGTACGCATTTTACTTTCATTCACTAGAGTGTATGTTATTACTAATGTAATTTTATCTGGGATTTCAATTGCTTATTTCATTATTCGGAGGATAGATCCTTTTATGTAGCCTGGTGTTGCATAATAATGAATGTTTTCAATTTTGGAAAAGGAGCATTAGTTGTGTCTGCTCTGAGTGGACCACATGTAGGGATACTAACACCAGACAGAGAAAAATGGAACCACTCTGGAGATGTGGTGGCCAGGATTATATCCTAGTCAAACAAAATTTACATTGTTGGTCCAAATAACCTAGTGTTTTTTCAGTAGAGATGGATTGGCCCAACCTGCAGTGGAGAGTGAATGAGAGCTTCTCCCTGCTTTTGCAATTCCTGTGTAACTCATCAAAGAACCTCATCCCTTATCATCTTCCTAAATGGCTTCTAGTCCTACATAATCTTAAAGCATCTTTCCCAACTGCGTGCTGTAGCTGTGAACCCAACTGAATCTTTTGAGACACTGCAGAGAAGTAAAATGATTGCTTCTTCCTTTTTAATAAAGGGGAAATTAGAGGACCAGTAGAAATAGATTAATACCAGTTAGTTGGGTTTAAGAGAATAGTGTGTGTGTTTTGAGAAGCTTTTCTACTTATTTTTCTCTTATCGTTGCTAAAAAGGTGAATGAGATGTTGAAATGACCTCCATTTGCTAAAGGTGATCCAATAAGGTCTTTTTTAAATACAAATTTTACTCAAGTTTAAATTGTGTAAAACCGCATAGAAACCTGGAATTTTATAGTGTGCACTCTCTTATGTGTATATAGCATCCTGAGCTGTGTGGTACAATAGATTTCTCCTTAGCTTAAGGAAACATTAAGGGAGATAGATTTAATAAACAGAAAAATCAGCTCAACATTTTTACTGGTTGAGTCTGCTTTACTCTTTAGTAATTTCCTTCCCTGTGAACATGAACCATGCAGTGTCTGTGAGTTAATGATTTGACGTAAGTCTGTTGCGTACATCCTTCTTTAATGCTCCCATCATGTGGATGCTCTGTCTGCTGTCATTGCTTGATAAAAGAATAAACCTCTTATGTTTTATCCCTTGTGTCCTCAGTAAATGATTTAGTGTGCATGCCTTTTTATACCTCCCCAAGCTTCATATATAATCTGGTGCTCAATATTGTTTTAAAAGTGAAGGTTAGGGAGGGCATAGGAAGGAAATGGAATCGAGGCCAATCAAACAAAGTTTGTCTTTTCAAAAAGTATCCATATTCCCTTCCATTCACTGTCCCTTCATTATTCAGTGTTTATAGCAAAACATATATCCTATGATGTCAGTTTCTTTAGAATCACTCATATATTGAAAAAATGATGTTAGAACAGAACATCAAGAGTAAACTCAAAACCAAGTACTTTTTTTTTCCCATGTCTTTAAGTAGACACACAAATATTCAGATTCTTTTTTCATTATTGAGGTTACCAAGGTTTTCCCTCCATGCTAGACACATGCTGATCATTGAGTCATGCTTCCAGTCTAAGCCAGTTTTTCAAAGAATATTATAATTGTTAATATGCTGACTTGTGAACCTAGAAAAAAACTGATGTCATATCTATGTTGCAGTTATTTCTGATGCAGATGCTTCTTTATTCAAAGATAGAGCAAAGACACCATGCTGTGCATCAACAATATTCTGTACACAGTGCTGAAGGGTGTCTTGCAAATAGCCATCTCAACAATGCTGGAACTGTGCAAAAACTGAAAGCAAAGAGAAAGTAGTATAGCGATGAGAGCCTTCCCTACAAAGAGGCTGTATCCATCACTGAGTCAAGGTAGTAGAAGAAAAAGTGGAGGTAGAGCTATAAAGTGAGTGAGAGGACTAACAGAAGGCCAGGAGGAGCACAGTGGGGAGTCATTGCAGGAAGTGGACAGTTACTGGAAAGGTGATTTAGTTGTGGAAAGAAAGGGCTTATGGTCAGATTTTGAGGAAGAGGCACAGAATGAAAGTCCTCTGAAGAATCTCAACTCCATCAGATGCCCAATGACAGTTCTTTAAAAAAAAAAAGTCAGCAGGGGCTGGGCATAGTGGCACACGCCTTTAGTCCCAGCACTTGGGAGGCAGACACAGGTGAATTTATGTGAGTTCAAGGCCAGCGTGATCTACATAGTGAGTTCTAGGCCAGCTGGGGCTACAGGGAAACCCTGTCTCAAAAAGACCAAAAGAAGAAAAAACAAAAAAACAAAACAAACAAACAAACAAAAACAGCGGAGATGGAAAGAGCACTGGCTGCTCTTGCAGAGTACCTGGGTTCCATTCCAACACACACAAGGTAGCTAACAACCATTGTTGGTAACTCCAGTTCCAGGGGCTCTGATGCCATCTTCTGTCATCCATGGACATTGCATGACACAGATGTACTCACATACATGCAGGCATAACACTCATACACATAAAAATAAATTTTAAAAAATAGAAAAAAACAAAATGAAAGAAAAGAAATCAGGCCTGGGATGGTAAATCTGTAAGGAGCTTCCTAAGTTGACCATCCAGAGTATCCTACAAGGTGTATTCCAGGATAGTGAGTGACCTGTGTCAAGAAACAAAGTGAAAGGCACATAAGAAAGGAATCCTGACTTGACCTCTAGTCTTCAAATGTATGCAAGCACACATAAACAGACACACAGCAACAACAGTAATAATAATAATAATAATAATAATAATTATAAAAATAAAAATAAATTCAAGTGAAAGCAACAGGTAAAATACATTTTAATGCAATGAAAATATAATTGGCAAAAAAAGAGAAATTAGAGAAAAATGTTCAATCAGTGACTAATTTAAGAATGTCAGTTTGTGGTCTTTAATATCTTACAATAAAATTGAAATATAAGCTGAAAAATAACATTTGCTAAGTAATAATATCTGAAATGGAAGCTGAATAAACACAGATCATAAAAAAGGACAAAAGTCCAGACCCCACAAGTCATGTCACTGAGAAAACAGAGAAAGGCATGAGGCAGAGGGAGATTCAGGGGAGAACCAGAAACCCAACAGGGGCTACACCAGAGAGCTATGTCATTGTCAGCAAATCCATGTCACTCTCAGGCTCATCCCAGTCTGGTTAATTATATCCGTGTGAGGCTGACACACTGTAAAAACACAAAATGCAATTCTGAACCTTATGACCTAGTAGACTTCCACTCAAACATTCTTTACAGACTTTTATGAAATAAATTGAATTGAATTTTATATTCAGTAGTTAAGGTTTTTTTTACAGAGTAAAACAATGTGTTTAATTATCTCTGCCAACTTATCATATTACATACATTTTAAAAATGAGAAAAAAGTTGAAGAATAATTTTACTATTCATGGAACTAATATAATAGAGAATAAGATGAAACAAGAATAATTTTACTATTCATGGAAACTAATATAATAGAGAATTATATGGAACCAAAAGTTCCAACTGTAAGAGTTCCTGCATGGCTGTGGCTAATGTCAGCTGTTGGTGTGCTTGTCACCCTGCAGGAAAGGGTGAGGAGAAAGCCACACTTCTCAGAAGTCTGGTTTCATTTTTTTCCAGCCAATCACAACCTATCTTTTATCCTTCCTGACAAATTTCATGGACAGAAATATAATCAGAAAACCATAGTATAGGAATTCTCAACTGCTATGTTAAGTCCTGGTAAATGATCTCATCTTTCTAAAAGACCAAATCCTAAATATAAGGACTCAGAGGCAGTAGGTCGGGGGACACAGGCTGAAGAGCTGCTTATCTCCTTAGGGAGCTCAAGCCAGGGAAAGTTGTGTCCTTCACTGTGATGCAGAAAAGAACTTCAAGATGAGACACAGTAAACCAAAGTTAGTGAGTTTCCTACTCATGCAGGGGACTATATGACAAAAAGACCCAACAAACCCAAGACAGGAATGTGAATTTCCTAGCATTGTACTTAACTGTCTTTACATGACTGGACAAGATACTCTGGCTTTCTAGGCTACCTTCCTCAAAGGATATAATTTACAACAAAACTTAAATTAAAACTTTAAAATTTAAGAAATTTACATGTACAATTATATAAGATGCTGCCAGGCATGCATGGTGGTACACACTTAATGTCAGCAGTTGGAAAACAGAGTCTAGTGGATTTCTGTGAGAACAAAGCCAGCTTGATCAAAATAATGAAGTTCCAGGCCAGGTGGGGCAACAGAGAAATCCTGTCTCAAACACACATACACACACTAACACACACACACACACACACACACACACACACACACACACGGTAGATTACTGTTTTCTTGGCATAGAAAATTTTCTTTTGTAAATGAAATTTTAAGGTGGTTTTATGAGGTACACTATTTAGGTCTAGAGATGGTAAAGGACGGGCAAATGAAGCTCAAGGGTACAAACATTTTGGCCCTAAGTAAGCATACATCATTTGTTTTCAGCAGTCATAGTTGAGGTGTGTCCCAGAAAACACCTTATCTCTATAGGCAATCTTAGCTTTACCAATTTTATGCAAGTTTCTTGATTCTTGATCAGAAGTTGGATTCCATGCTAAGGGCCTTTTTCTTTCTCAGGCACCCTGAACTTTCCCTGTTTTTCTGCCATGCCTTTATCTGTACATAGCAATAACAAGGATCAGATGAAGGACAGTAATATGCACTGTGTTAATTCTATATTTATATTGCAGAGCAAATTTGTGTTATGATCATATCACATTTTATTTTGGACCATTTTATGAAAAACTATAATATACTACAAAGTTGTGTATTTTACTGGAACTAAGCACCTCACTATGTTTTTGTTTGGGTGTAGGGGGGTGCTGTGAGGATTTTAATTTGTGTATAAACAGGAATGAGAACATAATTTATGACACTAAAGAATAAAAATTTAGTATGTAAATATACACCATTAGTGTTTTAGAATACGTAGTCTCTCAAGAAACATAATACTGATTTACATACTGTGTTTTAAATTATAAGATCATAGGGTGAGCTTACAGACTAGTTCCAAATCACAGAATCTCATATCCACTAGCCTATACAACTATATAAAAGTATGAACTGCAGAGAAATAAGAAAAAAAAATCAAGGAATCCCAGTAGCTACTCTTGACTTTGGAGATCATATTAGAACAATAAATAATGGAAATATAGTTACATATGGAACAAGAATAACTACATACTAAAAGAGTGAATAAATACATATACATATTTATTTCTATATACATATAAATCACTTCCCTAATATTTTTCAAAATCACTAATAAATACTTCAAATTGATTAAAATATAATTTCAGTTTAGAAAAGCAATATATAAAATAATCTTTAATTGCAATAATCAGAAACTATTTGTTTTAACCACTTAACAGTAATTAGTGATTATACACAAAAAATTTTAAAAGCACATACATTTAATTATTCACAAATAGCATTTTAAAGAGGTCAAGACCTGCATACTGCACTGACCCTGTTCTTGCAATAACTTGGAAACAACACACTGCAGAAAACACCCGTTTCCTGCTGCACAGATGCAGAAAGAAATGACTCTTCATGAAAGCAGAGAAAGGCACTCCTTACTCAACACAAAGAAAAAGTAGTCTACAAAATCAGGAGCAAGTATGAGGCCTTGGCATGCAGGACCACAAAGTAAAGAAACATCTAATGAGGACAAGGAGATACTCTGTCCTTGGTATTGCACAAGAGAAGGAAAACAAGTTCATAAAGGCCATGCCTAGACTGGATCATCTATTTGGGAAGGCTGGGGACCTTGGACATGGAGATTTCACACTGACTCAAGGTTCTGCCTCACAGACCTCTACCAAGTACCCAAAGAAAGATCAGAGGCAGGGCAGGACACCAGGTAAAACTCACATCCTTTTAGCAAAGTGTGTTGCAGGAAAAAAGGCCTGACACCCTGCACCATCCTCTCTGGCCAAGGGAGGCATCTGTGCATCTGCTTGCCCCCCTGCCCCCCCCCCGCCCCCAACGGATGCACTGTTTCCAAGAGGAGGGAAAGGAGTCACATGAGGAAGGGGGTGCAAACCCTGTGTGGAGAGGATAGCCAGAGCTAGAAGTCACCAAAGAGAGCAGGAAGCGAATAGGAAAAGGAGACAATTTTTTTGATGGAGGAA